ACATTGTTTTGTACATTTTTTTTCCAGTCTCTTCTTTAAAACATAATTATTGGCACCATTATATTTTATGTACATATAACCTTCTCCCTTAAAAATGTCTTGAGATCTTTTAAAAAAAATTATAATCACTGCTCTGTATACAGGTTGAACCAAATGATATTTTAAACATTGATTACTACCAGCAGGATAGGCACAAATGTATTTTGTTGGCAAAGCTCTAAGTTTCTGTAATGTATGCTTTATTTCAAAGATACTGTGCTCATCTTCTGTTCAGTGGATACTGAGGCACCACTTTATTTAATTAAACACTAGGAAAGCTTCAGCATTCACTTACTGTTGTGGCCCCTTACCAGCTCCTGTAGCATGGTACCCATGAGCTTAACATGCACATGATAAATGATTGTGGAAAGGCATTAAAAATGACATTCGCTATTTTGCTCCTTCAGAAACTGCTATGTGAAAAATTAGAAGAACAGTTGCAGGATTTGGATGTTGCCTTAAAGAAAAAGGAACGTGCTGAACGAAGGTATTTTGAAATTTGTCTTAATATTTTGTTTTGGAATTTGACAGCAGGATTGTCTTGTGATACAGATGAATGCATCCATCTAACAAGGGACTGGCAAACTGTGGCCTATGGGCCAAATCCGGTCTATTTCTTTTTTTTGTACTGCCCACTAACTAGGAATGGTTTTATGTTTTTAAATGCTTGAAAAAAATCAAAAGTAGAATCAAATTTTATGACACATGAAAATTATATGATATTCAAATTTCATTTACTTTATTTCAATAAAATAAAATTTTGTTGGAACACAGCCTTGCTCATTTGTTTATGTATTGTCTATGGCTGCTTTTGCCCTACAACAGCAGAGTTCATTAGTTACAACAAAGACCTTAGGACCTGCCACACTTGAAATATTTATTATTTGTCCTTTTATAGGAAAAGTTTGCCAACCCTGATCTAAAGAATTTATCATAACCTACTTTAAATCAATATTGGCCCAAATATTACAGAGGATATGTACCTAAGCATTATGGTAAATATACGAAACCTATTAAGAATTGGTCTATGATTTAGTTAGTTACCCATGTCATCTCTTTGGGTTGGTATAATTAACACTGGTAAAATAAAGAGCATTTAAATGCTGAACCGTGTCCTACGGACTGTAAGAGATGCCTCCTTTTTCAATATGCTATTGCACTGTGGTCTAAAGCAGTTGAGGAAGGCTTCTTGGAGGAAGTAAGACTGAACTTGAGCCTAATTTTTGAAAGGGGATTCAGAATTAAGTCAGTAAATTTATATTTATTTGTAACTTCTTTGGTGTATTTCTAAACATTCACTCACACCTACTGTGTACCAAACTGAAGAGAAAAGATGAGTAAGACAAAGCTTTTGCTTGCATGGAATTTACATTCTATCAGAGAGTACAGACATGAACCAATGATACAATAAAATAGAAAAGTCCATGTATATTGAAAGCAATATCAGAACATTGTAGAGGAATATTTTAGTTCTCCTAGCTGGGGTTATACAGGTGATCGTGCAGAGAAAGGATATTTCAGGCAAAGAGCACAAACGTGAGCAAAGGCAAAGTGTAAAAATAGGAGAGTGATAGGGGATGTACCTCTGTAAAAGCAGAATAAGCACCAAATTGCAAACAGCTTTGCATACCAGGCTAGGGAATTTGAATTTATTCTCTATGGGCAGTTGGGGAGCCATCAAGGGACAGATATGTGTAATCAGATCACTAGTACAGAAAAAGTTCTCTAGTAATAGTAAGAAGAAATTGGAGTTGGGACTATTGCAATAGAGAGTCTGTGGGAGCCTACGATGACTGAACTATGTTAGTCATTATGATGATAAGGTGGCCATGTTCGAGAGAATTTTCAGAGGATTAATCTGTAGGACTTGATGCCCCTTTGTATACTAGTACAGTATGAGAAAAATCTAAGCAATGTCTCCTGATTGGTCTTATTACCTTCATTTGCTGCTACTTTTAACTTTTATCCTCTGAGTCATAGTCTATCCTCCAAAATTTAGCTTGCCTTAAGGTAGTCGGCTCATTCCATAATCCATTCACTTTACCCTGTGCAAAGATAAACCTTAAAAATGGATTCAGTCTCCAGAACCTGGGTTGTTTTTTTTTATTTTATTTTTTTAAGATGACTGGTAAGGGGATCTTAACCCTTGGCTTGGTGTTGTCAGCACCACTCTCAGCCAGTGAGCGAACCAGCCATCCCTATATAGGATCCAAACCCGTGGCCTTGGTGTTATCAGCACTGCACCCTCCCAAGTGAGCCATGGGCCGGCCCTTTTGTTTTGTTTTTTGCCACTCAGTTTGCGCTCTCTGGTTCATGGTGAATGTTACTAAGCCTATAGGCAAGTTAATATCTAAAGTTGACTAGGGGATAAAAGTACTTAGTTTTTAAGAATCAGTCGTTTAAATACCTTTGAACTTAGAAGCCCTGGGTTGTTTCTATAAACAACTTATATTTTGAATATTTGGAATATCTTCCAAAGACATTTTAAAAAATAAAGAATAATCCTATATAAAATTATCAGGACTGTTTTAATGTGCAGTTTCTACTGTTTTTGTTTTTGACACTGGAAAAGATCCAACTAAAGATGCTTCGAATTAAATAACAAATAAAAACTAGATTTTTCCTTTGCATTGGTCTTTCTGAAATCTGCCTGTCTTTCTGAAATCTGCCTGTCCTTCTGAGACAATTATCCCATGTCCTGAAGCTGATTTGGCTCAGCAATGTAGAGAGCTAATAGGCTCACCTGTTAAGGGCTTGGAAGAAAATGTATTCTTTCTAAAACCCAAGATTGTAAACCACTAAGAATTTTATCTGATACTCAGATTACATATGCTTGTTCTTTGGAGGCTGTGATGCTTATACCATTTATATGGGGAAAAGGCTGGTGAAAATTTTTTGACAATGGCTTCACAAACTATAGGATATGCTGCTGCAATTACAAAATAATTTAAATTTTAGAAATTTATGTTAAAATGTTCTACAACATTTGTTTACATTATCAGTCTCCCATTTACTAGTTCCTTTGCTTTCTTTCCTACTCTTAATAATACTCTTTACTTAAATGTCATCCTTTAAGGACAAAGTTATTGTTACAGGAACAACAGTTTGGCACAAACCCAGTTAAATGAATTGTTGCTGGTGTTTGCTGATTGTTTCAATAATCTGATTAACAAAACTTTTAAAATTTATAGCTCCTAGAATATATATAGCTTAAGAACTCTAAACAGCAAAATATATGTGTGTCTAAAATAATTATTTATTAACTGTAAATTCCAGGTGGCTTCATCCATTCTTTTAAAGTGAGCATTTTTGTTCTTTTTTTGTTTATTTATTCATATTATTATTGTTTTTTTACATTCTAAGATGTTGCGGAGCAGTTGCGGGGGTGGGAGAGAGGGAAAGGGGAAAGGAAATAGGGTGGGAGAAGGAGGAAGCAGGGGTGTGGTTGAGGCCCGTGGCACCCCACTCATTCCTGCAGGGGAGACCAGGGGACTTCCAGCAGTGGCTTGGTCATTGCTGGTGTTCATTTTTTTAAAAATCTGTGAAATAACTTCTCCAGCACTCATCCTGGCAGCTTTTAGAGCCTTACTTATTCTGTATGTCATAGTACAAGAGCATATTTCCTCTGTCCATGCATTTATTTAATGCTTAACCAACATATGTTGGGTACTTAATTTATGCCAAGCAGTGTTATCAACATGAGGAGAAAGTATATATATAATGTGTAGATCCATTAGAGGGCTCTACAGTTTGGTGGAAAAGAGGGATGTGTCAATGAGTATTTAGTGATTAGCCAGCAACTATCTACAGACCTGGAACTGTGAGGCTGTATGAAACCTTATGTTTTAGAAGTCCATTCAATAGTTTGTAATCGTCCCCTCTAGAGCTTGATGTCAGAAATTATTTGGGAATTCAAACAGCTCTGTACTTCCAGAGTACTATTATTGGTGCTTTGCTAGCAGAGAGTTGGATTTAATCAGGATTGGAATTTTCCAGGTAATAGAGGGAAGGAGAGAAAGAGACAAGGAATTTGAAAGTGTATGCAAAAGGAGTATTTATAATGATGGACAATGGAGTCTAAGGTAAGGGGGAAAGTAAAGACATGAAGGGAGTGATGGACAGTGTTTAAAAGAGGGTAGGGTCAATGGATAGAGATTCTACTGGAGTCAGTAAAAGTGAAATTTTAAAATTTCTGAAATTGAAATTTTAAAAGGAGTGTGGTTATTGGTAATGATAAGGTCTGGGCCAGATATCACTGAACTAGGTAGTGAGATGGAACAGAAGATGTGTCTTTCCATAAGATTACTGAGCAAAAGAAAGATGTGATGAGAAATATAACTATCTTAAAGATTCTGTTTAGTCAAGGGTTTGGATACCCCCAAAGGCCAGCCACAGAAAAAAAAGAAAAAAGATTCTGTGGAAATGTTACCACCTATATAAAGCTTTCCCAAATTTCTCAGTTCTTCAGACAAAATTAATCTATTCCTTTTTCATGTTTCCATTATACTATTCATAATGGACTATAATCAATTGTCAAATAATTGTGAGGGTAAGAACCATATCTTATTTACCTATGAATTCCCAAGGCTGACACAAGTCTTGACCTGATACAGTGAATGAGAATAAATGTTTTTTCAGCTGGACTGAGGAAAGAAATAGTGGCCAAGAGAAGGTAGAGATTTCGAGGTATAAGGAGGAAACTGATATCTCAATAAACTTCATTATTGTAAGGACAGATGTGTCCTTTACAATGTATTTTATCGCAGATAAATATGTATTTTATCTGTGTATTTTAACGCAGATAGCTCAAGCTCTGATTTATCCATGAAGTCTTCCCCATTCATTCCAATTAGTGCTGTTTTTGCATTTCCTACTTATTAGTTCATTAACTGTACTATATATTGTTGTCAGGTTTTGATTAAAATTACTTTATCATTTTGTTATGTACCAGTTTTTTTTCTAATTTTAAATACAGTTTTATTTAAGACATCGCATTTTCCACTTACAATACAGTACTTATAAAGTGCAATGTTATTTCCTTTCCTTGTGCATAGGTTCCATATTCAAGTATTGAGAATGTCCAGTAATTTACTATAGCAGCTCAACTTTTGAAATGCCACAGAATTTGCTACAAATTTGAATCTTTCAGTGTTTTACTTTGTGGAACAATGCTACGTCTATACTTGGGTTGTCCTAATCAGCCTCTTCAATGGTGGGCCCTGAAGAAGCACTACCACGTGGAGGAGCTCCTATGCCAGGGAAGCCACCAGGCATTCCTCCTGGCATGCCTCCTGCACTCTGGTACAGCTTGGTGACCATGGGGTTGCAGGCTTTCTCCAGCTCTTTTTGCTGATGTTCAAATTCTTCCTTCTGTGCAGTCTGATTCTTATAAAGAAGTTGATGATTTCATTACACTTATCAGGAATCTTCTGTTTGTCCTCATATTCGATCTTGCCTTGAAGTTTTTCATCTTCAACAGTTGCTTTCATGTTGAATGCATAGGATTCAAGTGAATTCTTAGACAACACCTTGTCTCTCTGCTTCTCATCTTTAGCTCTGTACTTTGCAGCTTCTTGGACCATCCGTTCAATGTCTTCCTTGCTCAAATGGCTGTCATTATTGATGGTAATCTTGTTCTCCTTTCCTGTACTCTTATCCACAGCAGAGGTGTTGAGGATGCCATTGGCATCAATGTCAAAAGTGACTTCAGGGGCCGGCCCGTGGCTCACTCGGGAGAGTGCGGTGCTGACAACACCAAGGCCACGGGTTCGGATCCCATATAGGGATGGCCGGTTTGCTCACTGGGTGAGCGTGGTGCTCACAACACCAAGTCAAGGGTTAAGATCCCCTTACCGGTCATCTTTTAAAAAAAAAAAAAAAAGTGACTTCAATCTGAGGAATGCCATGGGGTGCAGGAGGTATGCCTGTGAATTTAAACTTGCCAAGCAGGTTGTTATTCTTGGGCATGGCATGCTCACCTTCATAAACCTGAATGAGCACACCAAGCTGGTTGTCAGAATAGGTAGTAAAGGTCTGGGCCTGCTTGGTAGGAATGGTAGTATTGTGCTTGATGAGGATAGTCATGACTTCACCAGCAGTTTCAATACCAACGGAAAGAGGAGTGACATCTAAGAGCAGCAAATCTTGAACATTTTTCAGATTTGTTTCCAGATGGGATGGCTGCCTGGACAGCTGCACCATAAGCAACAGCCTCATCAGGGTTGATGCTCTTATGCAGCATTTTTCCACTGAAAAAGTCTTGTAGAAGCTTCTAAATCGTTTTTTTTTTTCCTTTTTGTCTTTTTTCGTGTCCGGCAACGGATCGCAACCCTCAGTGTCGCGCCCATACCGGACCGGGACCGGCAACGGGATCGCAACCCTCGGTGTTGCTCCCACACCTCGCTCAGCCAGTGAGCGGGAACCGGTCTGTATGTGGGATCCGAACCCTCGGCAATTGCGCCACTGCGCTCCCAAGCGGCGCACTGTAGCAGTGCGCTACCGGGCCGGCCCAAAGCTTCTAAATCTTGAGGATATTGATAGAACTGCCCACCAGGACAATATCATGGATCTGAGACTTGTCTAGTTTGGCATGCTGCAGGGCTTTCTCTACTGAGTCCAGGATGCCACAGAACAGGTCAGCATCTAATTCTTCAAACTGAGCACGGGTAATGGAGGTATAGAAGTCAATTCCTTCATAGAGAGAATCAGTCTCAATACTGGCCTGGGTGCTGGAAAAGAGAATATGTTTAGCACATTCACAAGCAGTACGGAGGCATGGGACAGCTCTCTTATTCTCATTGATATCCTTCTTATGCTTGCGCTTGAACTCAGCAATAAAAGGGTTGACCATTCGGTTGTCAAAACCTTCTCCACCCAAGTGTGTGTGTCTCCAGCTGTAGATTTGACCTCAGAGATTCCATCCTCAATAGTGAGGACTGACACATCAAAAGTGCCACATCCTAAGTCAAAGATCAACACATTTCTTTCAGCTCCAACCTTTTTGTCTAAGCCATAAGCAATAAACAGCAACAGTTGGCTCATTGACAATCCTGAGTACATTGAGACCAGCAGTGGTTCTGGCATCTTTGGTAGCTTGGTGCTAAGAGTCATTAAAGTAAGCTGACACTGTGACCACAGCATTTAGGCTTCTGCAATTTCCTTTATCTTTGTCAGTACCATAGATGACACCTCCTCTGGAAAGAAACTTTCTGTCTTTCCCTTGTATTCTACTTGGACCTTGGGCCTGCCTGCATCATTCACTACCACGAAGGGCCAATGCTTCATATCAGATTGGACAACAGCATTATCAAATCTACATCCATTAGACGCTTGGCATCAAAAATTGTGTGGGTGGAGTTCATTGCAACTTCATTCTTTGCAGCATCACCAATCAATCATTTGGTGTCAGTAAAGATGACATAGCTTGGGGTGGTTTGGTTCCCCTGATCATTGGCAGTTATCTCTACTTTTCCGTGCTGGAAAACCTCCACACATAAGTAGGTGGTGCAAAGATCAATGCCATCTGCAGGTCCCTTAGACATGGTTGCCTGTGTGGAAGCCCAGCTTGGCTAGCAAAGAATACACACGAACCCCCCAAGCCACTGCCACATTCAACAAGACCCCATAACAGGTTTTATTTCCTAGCTTCATAACCTCTCTCTAAAAAGACCATGAGATTCTTGTTAGCAAGGCCAAGGGTTTATAGGGCAGTAAAGGCTACACTCTAAAGGACCTAGCCAACTGGATACATTAATTTCCTTCTATAAAAGACATTACAAGTAAAGGGAGAAAGAGTGGTTACTATTTCAGTTCAGTTTAGTGTACACTGGCATGTCAGAGCTCAGCTGTCCTTTTGAATTGGATTTACTTTTGGAGGACCTGAGAAAGCACCTGTGGTATATAGCTGTTTGTTCTGTAAAATTTGTTGAGTTAAAATCAACAAAAGTTATGGGCCGGCCCGGTGGCGCACTGGATAGTGCGCCGCTTGGGAAGCGCGGCGGCGCTCCCGTCCGAGGGTTCGGATCCCACATACAGACCGGCTCCCGCTCACTGGCTGAGCGAGGCGCGGGAGCAACGCCGAGGCTTGCGATCCCGTTGCCGGTCCCCGGTCCGGTATGGGGGCAACACTGAGGGTTGCGATCCGTTGCCGGACACGGAAAAAAGACAAAAAAAAAAAAAATTTTTTTTTTTT